ATGGGGAATACATGTAAATCCATGGCTGATTCATGTCAATGTATGGCAAAAACCACTACAATATCATAAAGTAATTAGCCTCCAATTAAAATAAATTAATTAATTAAACAGAAGAGGAAACAGTTTTAAATTTTAAAAAAATAATAATAAAATAAATAAATAAATAAAATACATGCCCAGTGTTTGTGTGCTGAGTTACAAAACTCACCTAGAACTATCCTGAGCCTGCATCTTTGAAAGAATTGCACAGAGGTTAGAAAAGGAGTGGGGAAGACTGTACAAACAAAATTACCCCATTTCACAATGTTTAACTGACGCACACCATGCAGGCCACAAATCTTAGCCTAACCCAGAGTTGGCCCTTCTCAGTGACTCAAGTTCACTGCCCAGGTAGGCATTTGTATCATACTCACTGAACCGACATTGGAGATATACATGGAAATATTCTCTTTCACTCATTTGGAAAGAGGCCATGGTGTACTTCTGTTTTTCCTAAACAATCTGAGACTTCCAGGACCAAGAACAGTAGGTCTGGGGAGCAAGAAGATAGACTGATCTCATCCCATTTTCCTTAGCTTCTGTTCCCCAAATCTGTGCCCCCAGGAACAGCTCACACATCCAGCATGGCTGGGAGAGACACAGCCAGAAGAGGGAGGAGATGTCACAGCACCATCTCTTTCCTGAGGTTTCGATCTCAACCCAGGAATACCCCTGCTGTTTTCATTGCACAGTAAGTTTGTAGGGATGCCAGGGGCGGGGTAGGGCAGTGGTTATGGAAGAACACGGATTCTGGAAATCTGAGAAAGTAAAACAAGACTATTAACTTACCTTTTTAAAAAAAATAGGCGGTGTTCATGTTTGGCGTTGCAGTATGAAATCTGATGAGTGTAGCTGCCTTGAGTGGAATGGAAGTAAATTTGTTGGATTTTGAGGAATCAGGAAATGATGATGAAAGAGGTATTTACATAAGGCATTCATGTGATATGAGGATGACACCAGCCAAGAGAGGGGTCAAGGAGTGTCCTTCAGTGTAACTGACAAAGGTGATGGGATGGAAAGGTTGGTGTGGTTCACCTGATTCAAAGGAGGATATTTATTTATTTTTTTTCCACTTATTTTTATTAGTTGGAGGCTAATTACTTTACATCATTACAGTAGTTTTTGTCATACATTGAAATGAATTAGCCATGGTAGATCACCAGTCCAGGTTTGATGCATGAGACAGGGTGCTCAGGGCTGGTGCACTGGGATGACCCAGAGGGATGGGATGGGGAGGGAGGTGGGAGGGGGTTCAGGATGGGGAGCACATGTACACCCGGGGCTGATTCATGTCAATGTATGGCAAAAACCACTACAATATCATAAAGTAATTAGTCTCCAATTAAAATAAATAAATTAATTAAACAAAAGAGGAAACAGTTTTAAATTTTTAAAAAATAATAATAAAATAAATAAATAAATAAAATACATGCCTGGTGTTTGTGTGCTGAGTTACAAAACTCACCTAGAACTATCCTGAGCTTGCATCTTTGAAAGAATTGCACAGAGGTTAGAAAAGGAGTGGGGAAGACTGTACAAACAAAATTACCCCATTTCACAATGTTTAACTGACGCACACCATGCAGGCCACAAATCTTAGCCTAACCCAGAGTTGGCCCTTCTCAGTGACTCAAGTTCACTGCCCAGGTAGGCATTTGTATCATACTCACTGAACCGACATTGGAGATAGACATGGAAATATTCTCTTTCACTCATTTGGAAAGAGGCCATGGTGTACTTCTGTTTTTCCTAAACAATCTGAGACTTCCAGGACCAAGAACAGTAGGTCTGGGGAGCAAGAAGATAGACTGATCTCATCCCATACTTTTCCTTAGCTTCTGTTCCCCAAATCTGTGCCCCCAGGAACAGCTCACACATCCAGCATGGCTGGGAGAGACACAGCCTGAAGAGGGAGGAGATGTCACAGCACCATCTCTTTCCTGAGGTTTTGATCTCAACCCAGGAATACCCCTGCTGTTTTCATTGTGCAGTAAGTTTGTAGGGATGCCAGGGGCGGGGTAGGGGAGTGGTTATGGAAGAACACGGATTCTGGAAATCTGAGAAAGTAAAACAAGACTATTAACTTACCTTTTTTTAAAAAATAGGCTGTGTTCATGTTTGGCATTGCAGCATGAAATCTGACGAGTGTAGCTGTCTTGAGTGGAACGGAAGTAAATTTGTTGGATTTTGAGGAGTCAGGAAATTATGATGAAAGAGGCATTTACATAAGGCATTCATGTGATATGAGGATGACACCAGCCAAGAGAGGGGGTCAAGGAGTGTCCTTCAGTGTAACTGACAAAGGTGATGGGATGGAAAGGTTGGTATGCTTCACCTGATTCAAAGGAGGATATTTAAAAATTGTATCCAGAAAGGAAATTTAATGGAGGAGAAATGGCAGCTGGGAGCCAGGAGGGTGTGTAAATTATGGATCCTTCCAATGATGGCACGTTTGCTGCCCGAAAATCGAATGATTTCTTATTGGGAGTATTTTACCCTATTTAACATATAATGAAAAACACAGTGTTTGAGTGATCTATTGAATCACTCACTTTCCCTTAAGTCCTCTGACACTAGACTTTCACAGCAATCCAGATCGGTAGAAAATTAAGTTCCATTGGTTCCTCAAATATTACTTTTCTCCTGACCTCTCAGCATAGCTCTCCTGGGAACATGTGTTTCATTGGTCACACAACAAATTACAAGGTAGTCCCAGTCCAGAGGGAAATGAGGATCAGCTTCTCATTTGTTGAGGTCTGAATCCCCTGGTGGCACCTCAAGGCTGCTCTTGAATGCTGTGTCTCAGTTGGTCTTATCATCTTTGAGTCAGTCATTCGAGCCGTGAGAATCAGGCTTGGTGCCTTTCTCTTACCCACAGTTTCTGTGTGCTGGCATATTTCTTAATTCTCTTTCCTTCCCATGCTAAATATGGCTACCCTATTTATCATCTCTTGTCTACACTATGGCAGCAGGCTTCTAACTAGGTGTCCATCCTAAACTGAGAGATCCTGAGCATCTCGTTACAGTTCTCGCCTTGTGATTTGGAGTAAGAAGGGGTGTTGTGTTTGCCAACATCATCCCGTCCCTTAGCGAAGCCTCTGCAGTCCAGGTCCTTTACTGACCTTCTCCAGCCTCATCCTTAAGCACCTTCTTCAGGACCATGGCATTGCACAGCTCTGGGGGCAGCATTATACTGTATTGTATGTAAAAGGGGGTTCTGGTGTGGAGTGATACTGTGGTCCTTTTATTTGCCTCACATTCCAGCAAATGCCAGAAATAAGTAGACATCAGCCTGCTGATTATTGTTTCTTTCTCTTTAATTTTGTTGGTCCTTCTTTCTAGAACATCTTCTCACTACTTTTCCTCACCTCCTTGGACACACAGACACACAGAGATACACACAGACATGTGCACACATGCACACTTCTGGTTAAATGTTATTTATCCTTAAAGACATAGCCTGAGCATCAACTTCTCCAGCAAGATTTTCCCATTTCTCTATTCAGCCTTACCTTTGTAACCACCTTATAACATTGTATTTCAGTTTTGAAATACAAAGAGTCAGTTGCTTCTGACTCTTTGTGATCTCCATGGACTGTAGCCTGCCTGACTCCTCTGTCCATAGAATTTTTCAAGCGAGAGTACTGGAGTGGATTGCCATTTCCTCCTCCAGGTGATCTTTCTTACCCACATCTCCTGTGCATCTCCTGGATTGCAGGAGGATTCTTTACCACTAAGCTACTGAGAGGAAGCCATAATACATATCTATGGAGACCATCAACTGTAAAGACTTGGATCTGAAAAAAGATATGTCCAAGAAAGTACAATTTCTTGAGATCTTGCTCAAGGGGAATTTTTACTTTATTCAACAAATATTTATTAAGAGCCTACTATATGCTGGGAACTGTTCTAGGGTACATGTAAGTGAACAAAATAGAAAAATAAATCCTCACCCCCATAGGGCTTACATTCTAATGAGTACTTAATTGCATTTGCATAAGTAAATATTCTCCTTACATTTTTCTAAGAGCAAAAGAACAGTCTCCCTTCAAGGATAAATCAAAGTTTCCAATTCCAAAAGAGACAAATGGTTTCCAACTTACCAATGATCCTCCTCAAAGCATCTTCCAAAAAAAAAAAAAATCTTGTGGGTGATTTTAGGTAGTGTTACTTTTGATGTTGACATTTAATATTTGTATCAGGAGATGAAAGTATTTAATGAAGAGATACATAAGCCTACTTTTAGAGATATCACCAAGTAACCAAATAGCTTCTCCAGTTTTATTCAGCATAGGAGAGCTGAAAAGATTATGCTAGGTTAGGCATCCATAGCCTTATAGCAATTGAACACCATCCATCTCTCCTGGCTCTTGGCTTAACCAATGTGCAGTGTGCTTGGGTGACACTGGACTGGTTTCTCTCCCATGTGTGGTTAAGGGGAAGCTTTTCCTTGGCAGAGTCCCCTTGATGAGTCCATGGTGTCATTGGGTTATCTCTGAGAGGTCATTGTTCATCTTCCATCATAGGTCAGACTTGGCAGTGGTGAAATAAGTGTTCTTGCTACATCTGTACACGCATAATCATGGGCTGTTCTGAACACATACGTCATCTTGTGGGTGGGTGAGAGGATTTAAAAACAAAAAACAAATAGGCCTTTTCAGCTTTTTGAGCTAAAAGAAAACAATAAGTGTATTTCAACACAGAGGATGATCCCAGGTCAGTCATAGAAGTTTGTGTTGGCTGTTGGACTAGGTAGGTAACCCCCAGAATCCCTCCAGTCATCAGCAGACTGTGATTGCAAGAATCATCCATGAATCAGAAGTCAGTGCTATCAGTGTCTTTTCTGGACAGATTCATATATAGAGGGAGGTCAATAGAAGACTGTGAAAAAGAGGGATAACGTTTGCCCGTGTTTAACCAAAGAAAAGAGCTCATTGCATTTTGCTGACCTCCCTCCTGTCACAATTCTAGCATCAGTAGATTCACAGGAAGCTATTTGGGGTGACATATTTTCAGAGAGAACTGATTAATGGTGAAATAAGAGTGAGACATGAAGGATAATGGTGACTCCATGATATTAATTCCAGCTCTGTAAACCAAGTTGGTGGGAGGCTGGTCTGAAGATGAATACAACTCGGTAAATTATGTAATTATACCCCTACCTCACATACACACACATGTGCAGCCCTAGATGAACAAACACCCAATTTCTATTAGAGGTATATTTCTTTCCTACATACTGATGTCTCTAATGGTAACATTATTGACATGAAAGTAAAAGGGTAGAATGATCCTTGTTATAAAATATGAAAAGTACATAAAGCTCCACAGGACATAATACTTCTTGGAGTATAGTTGAAATCCAGTAATGCCAAGCAAATTAGAAGACTGCTGTTTTTTTATTTTAATTATTAACCTAACGGTTTACTTTGGGTTTGTGGATATATTTGGATGGTGCCTGGAGCTTGACAAAGCAATTGTTCTTATTTTTTTCCTTCCCAGGTAGACTTAAAATGATAGTACTATCTTTATCCATCACTGACAAGGAAAGAAAGTGAAGATGAATGCTGAATATACTTTCCAAGAAACTAAATTTCAGTCTAGGCAAGGTATAAACATTAACGACCTAATATATATGGAAAAATTTGAAAGCCCATTTAGACATTTTGTTTTGTTTTTACTTTTTTTGAAGATTTTTTTTTTTTTTAATGTGGACCATTTTTAAAGCCTTCATTGTTTCTGTTTTATGTTTTGGGTTTTTGGCTGCAAAGCATGTGGGATCCCAGTGAATTAGGCCCAGTTCCCTGGCCTCCATTGGAGAGCCAAACCTTTACCACTGGACCACCAGGGAAGTCCCCCGTGTAGTC